CTAACCCATCCAGTCATTTTCTTGGAGTATATGAAATCCAGGTCACTCCAGTTGGTTTCGTCGTAGACTGGTTTTTGGTGTTCTTCGGCATTCAATGTCCCAGCTGAGTTTGTGAAGATCAATTTCTTCACTGTTTTGGCTTTGGCACATGATCTTATTATGCTCAACATACCATCTACTGTTGGCTTTATAACCTCATTCTGTAATATCTACTGAACAACTAGCTAGCTAGCTCGTAAAGAGTTGTAACAAACGTGTATTAGATAAACTTGTGTCTTGACACATTGTTTGATAACATAATGTCATTTGAGTCGATTAAAGTTGTCCGGTAAGGACATACCTCAGGGTCATGAGATTCAAAATCCATTGGTGTAGCCATGTGAAACACTGCATTACAACCTTGGACTGCTTCATCATAGCTTCCTTGTATGTTCATGTCTGCCTTCCACAATGTCAAGTTTGCATTTGCATTTGGCAATTCTATTAGGTGTTTTACTTTCTCCATGTTCCCTACACATTACATAAATCACATATGTCATCTAGTAATAATAACTACTCTTTTCATTTGTTTGTCAAATTTTGATGCACCATGTTTTCCTACACATTTAACATAAAAATCACATATGAACTCTATTTGTTCTAGTAATGGTGGTGAGTGAATATCTTTACTTCTATATGAGAAAAAAGAAATTAGAATTGTGTATATTAAGCTAGTTAACTAATACCGGGATCGCGAACTGTTGCACGAACAATATACCCACGTTCGAGGAGCCTCATGACCAGCCATGAGCCGATGAAGCCGGCGGCTCCGGTCACACATACGGTGGTCGGCGGTGGTGGGGCGGTGGTTTGCAAGCCCATGCTTAGTAAGTGGGAGATTGGAGTTTGTATGTTGGGAGTGGGAACTAAATTTTAGAGATAGTTGGACTTTCCTTATTTAGCACACTAGTAGTAGTGGAAATTTTCCATTTGTTTGTGGACGAAGATTTCTAATTTAAATACTATGTGATATTC